CCCCAGTGTGGTGCTTTGAATGAGAATGTCCCCATAGGTTCCATCTATTTGAATATGTTGTCGCCAGTTGATAGTGCTGTTTTGGGAGGCCTTAGAAGGTGCAGCCATGCTGGAGGAAGGACATCAGTGGGGGTGGACTAAGAGAGTTCTTAAGCCTTGCCAGATCTCCAGTCGCTCTCTTGCTTCCTGTGCCTGCTTGAAGATGTAGAGCCTAGCTTCTGCTCCTCCTCCAGCCACCTCTGTTGCCATGCCTCCCCACCATGATGGACTCTTGCCCCTTTGGAACCATAAGCCAAATAAGCACTTCCTTTTTATCAGTTCCTTGGTGTTTCTATCACAGCAACAGAAAGGTAACTAATACACCCAGTGAATCTGTCATGACTCAACTTGGTACCATCAAGCACTTTGAGCTGAAAGAGGACCTGAAGCAGATCTCTCACGGACTCCCGCTCTCCTGTTTCCTCTCCTCCTACTAACACAGTCACAGAACCAGAATTCCTCCTCCCCAAAGCAGGTCAAGGAACCAGAACTCTTCATGAAAGTAAGCTGTAAAACATAGAGAGGGTGGCCTCTCCCTTCTCCCTGGAAGACGCACATTCTCGGAGGTCCTCCCCATACCGGGGGGAAGGAAGGACTGCTATGTCAATGAAAAGTTCAGAAGAATCTCAACAGCCAGCCAGGCCCTTGCTCTATGAACATTCCACAAGGCCCTTTTCTCTAATCACATTCTGCTATAGATCACTGTAACAGTTTTCCCAGGGTCTTTGGATCGTCTTTCCTGAAGGCTCCCATGTTACCTGAAACTTCAGTTAAATGTATTTGTGATACTTTTCTCTTGGTAACCTGGTGTGCTGACTATTCTTTGTTAACTTGTCACAAACAAAACCAAAAACAATCCCAGAACTTGAGAGACAAAGGCAGTCTATCTCTGTGAATTCCAGGCCAGCCTGGTCTACACAGTGAGTTCCTGACTTCTTCGTTATTTATTTCTGTTTTCTTTTCTGCTAGTTTACCTAATCCTTCCATGTGCCTCAAAACCTTGTGCTTCTCTGGCCTACAGTCTAGATCCTAGAGTGCCTGTCCCTCCTTCTTATCCATTTAGACACCACATAGCAAATACCTAGTGTGTATGAGGAACCATCCAGGAGACGTGTGTCAAGTGAACCTGGTCCCCTTGTGAGGCTCAGCCAAAAGATAGTGAAATAACACAACACAGTGTCTGCATTTCTCAAGAAGTGAGACTCTGCGTATGTATGCAGGAGGAGACCGCTCCTTTGTCAAAACATCTCCAGAATATTTCCTTTTTTTTTGTTTTTTAAGACACTGTTTTTTAGATCATAGTATTATTTATTAATAGTCTAGAAACACTTTCACATCAGGTAATGCTACTTGTTTGAATTCTATACTTAGGTCAATATTGTTTATTGCCATAATTTTTATATCCCTGAATTTAAAAAACTTTTATATTTATTTTATGTGGGTGTGCGCATGTTTGCCATTGTGCCCATGTGGTGACCAGAAGACAACCTGCAAGACAGCTCTCCCTCTACTCTGTGGGTCTCAGGCATCAAACTCAGGTTGTCAGGCTTGGCCGCAACTGCTTTAACTACTCAGCCACCTCACCAGCCCGACATTGCTGAATGAGTAATTTTTCCAATTTATTTTGTCTTCATTTTCTTTGAGACAGAATCCTAGACAGCCAAGGCTAGCCTTGAATTTGCTATGTAGCCAAGGGTATCCTTGGACTCTGGTCCTCAAGCCTCTGCTGAGTATGGGGGATTACAGGTGTGTGCCACCATGCCTGGCTTAGAATTACGTTCTGAAATTTTTAAAAAATCACTATGGCAAAACTACATAATATTTACCATTCTTTCCATCTTTTACTGTTTTATTTCTTAAGATTTCATTTATTTTTATTTTTTGTGTATGAGTGCTTTGCCTGCATGTAAGTGCTCCACACATGTGTGATGCCCACAGAGGCCAGAAGAGGGTGGTGTATCCCCAGGAGCTGGAGTCACAGAAGGCCGTGCACATCCTTGCACCTTGCCGGTGCAGGAAACCAAAGGAATGGGTCTTCTGGAAGAGCAACCAGTGCTCTTAAGCCCTGATCAATCTCTCCAGCCCTTATTATTTTAGGACAGAGTCTTGCTATATAGCCCTGGCTGGCCTTGAACTCACTATGTAACTCAGGCTGGGCTCAAACTTGTGGCCATCCTCCTGCCGCAGCTTCCCATTCTGGGATTACAGAGGTATGCTACCATGCCCAGAATCATGCTCTTTCTTTAAAAAAAAAAAAATTTTTTTTTTTCTTTTTGAGACAGGGTCTCCCTGTAGTCCCAGCTGACCTTGAACTCACTATGTAGACCAGCTGGCCTTGAACTCACAGAGATCCGCCTGCCTCTGCCTCCTGAGTGCTGGGATTAAAGATGTGTGCCACCACATCTGGCTCTTTCTTTAAAATTTTTAAAAATTACTTTTATTTTGTGTATGAGTGTTTTACCTGTGTGTTAGTGCACCCGTGTCTTGCAATGCCTCTGGAGGTCAGAAGAAAGCATGAATTCCCCTGGAACTGGAGTTATGGACAGTTGTTAGCTATCACATGGGTGCTGGGAACCAAACCCAGTTCCTCTCCAAGATCAGTCAGTGCTTTTAACCACTGAGCCATCTCTCCAACCCCACCTTTTCTTTCTTTTTTGGTATGTGTGTGCTGCCTGTGTGTGGCACAGACTTGTGCAGGCATATGGCGGGGGGGGGGCACTGAGGCTGATGCTGGGTGCTGTCCTCAATCCCTCTCCACCTTTATTTTTTGAGACAGGGTCTCTCACTGAATCTGAAACTCATGTATTCTGCTAGGCTGGCTGGCCAGTGGGCTTCAGGGATCTACCTGTCTCCACCCTCACAAGGTTACAGGCATAGGCTGCCTATGCTTGACCTTTTTTTAACAAAAATTTATTACTTCTATTTCCTGTGTATGGGTTAATTGTCTACATGTGTGTAAATGTACCCTTGTTGTGCAATGCCCACAGAAGTCAGAAGAGGGTGTTGGACCCCCTGGAACTGGAGTTATGGACTGTTTTTAGTGGCCATGTGGTTGCTGGGACTTGAACCCAGGTCCTCTGCAAGAGCAGTCAGTGCGCTAATCGCTGAGCCACCATCTCTCCAGTCCCATGCTTGACTTTTTACATGGGTTCAGGGGATATGAACTCAGGCCTTCACCCTTATGTGGCAGGCCCTTTACCGACTGGGCCCCATGTGCACCATTTCTAGGTGTATAGCTAAGTAGTATTGATTACTTGTGTGGCAGATCTCCAGACCCAGTCTCCCTGCAGCCACAGCTGGCCTGGAATTCACTATGTAGACCAGGCTGACCTCAAATTTGGAATTTGCAAGGAGAACATGCAAACCACTTCAGACCTGAGCCAGGCTGACCTGCATTCATAGCCCATCTGAATGTGAGGACTGTCCTAAGCTCCACCTGTTGGAACCCTCTTACTAGAGAATGTTACCAGTTACTTAGTAACATGCCACTTATGGCTATGTTGTGATGCAGAGAAGGAACTGGACTGAACCTGTACTGAGGTCAGGTTCCCCCATAGCTGCTTACTATCTGGGTAGCTTTAGACACATACCCACCCCACCCCACCCCATTTTAGTTTTTTCCCCATCTTAGCCCTCAGCTTTTCCTCCAGGCACAGACTAGACTGGTTCTTTAAGATGTCATGGGCTGGGACTAGAAATTAATGACACCCTTCAGCCATCAAATTCATTCTACTTTTTATTCAGCATGGTTCGTTTGATACATATATACATATATAAAATCTGTACATGGTAAAAAATACAAAATATTTCTTTATAAGTTATGTGATTCCATAGCTACCTTTTTAAAGTTTGAAAAACATTGCAGAGAAAAAGGATGAGATGTAGCCAGTCCCTTAGAGTGTTCCACAATAACCTCGGTATAAAATATTCATCCAAAATATATGTACACAGTAGAGTACAGTTCATAAAAGTTCATAAAAGCTTCGCACACAGCAACGTTCCATGGGGGGAGGGGGTGCTGGGTTTGTGTCCACACTCCACCTAGTGTCAGGAGCTAAGCAGCTCAGCCACACCATCCCAGAAAGAATGCAAGGGTCCACAGTAGACTATGAGGTACACTGTTATAGTAGGAAAAATTTTTTTTAAAAATTTAGTCATTATTATATTTATTTTATGTGTATGAGTGTATTGCCTGCATGTATGTGAGTGCACCTGTGTCTTGCAATGCCATGGTCAGAAGAGGGCTTTGGAGTCCCCTGGAATTGGAGTTAAGGACGGTTCGTAGCCTCCATGTGGGTGCTGGGAATCGAACCCAGGTCCTCTGCAAGAGCAGTCAGTGCTCTTAACCACTGAGCCATCTCTCTAGCCCTGGAAATTTTTTTAGAAGTGTCAATACAAACTAGAAATAGAGACAGGCTCTTCTCTGCACAGTCACGTTTCCCCAGCGGACACCAGGAGAGTCCCCGTTGTGGAAGGCATAGTTCTGTGCTTATTCTTTGGGGAAATTTTTGTGCTTTCTAAGAGAACTGCTACGGGAAGACAGGGTACTGACTGCAAGGAAGGGGGTGGGTCTAGAAGTCAGGGGTTCTAAGCTTGGTGTTTTCCTTTGCTATCAAAAACGTTCCTCCCTTTAAAGATGTCGGGGCTGAAGGCAGGACCTGGGTCACAGCCCAGACCGTGGGAACGGAGTCCCCACTCTCACTCCCGCAGTGTTTAAAGTAATTTGCAATAAATATATGCAGTGGGCCCTTGTGGAAAAGTTAAGACTGGGACCAAGTCCTACGTTTCTGTGGGTAGGGATGCTCGGAGGTGGGGTGGGGAAGGAAACGTCTTTGGCGCCCCTGAGGAGGTCGTGAATCTATTGTGGGAAACAGTTTTTCCCCGCCTCCCGACAGTGGTGCTGGTGGAGAAGAGCCTCCCAATTTGGAAGCGGTTAGAACCAGTCCCCGTTGGAGCAGGTTCTAGGACACAGTGATTTCCTCTTCTTCCTCGCCTTCCTCTTCCTCCTCGGAATCTGAGAAGTCTGAGGGTTTCCCCGGGCTGCTGGAATGAGAGGGAGAGGCGGCCAGGGGCCCTTCCAGGCCCACCTCCCGCCGGTGTGCGGGGTCTGGAGACACGTGGTAGGCCAGGCGGGGACGAGGGCTGCCGGGGCGCTCGTCTTCCTCCTCGTCCCTGGGACCCTTCTGGCCCACGTCGCTGAGGTCAGGGTGAGGGTTGAGCTTCGTGGGAAGGGTCTGCTCACGGCAGCCCCCGCTAGACAGGAGTTCGCGTTCTTTGGAGTTCCGCCACTTCATGCGTCGGTTCTGGAACCAGATTTTCACCTGTGGTTCAGGAAGAACCGAAAAGCAGCTGTTAGTTCGCCGGGGGCGGGGGTGAGGCTAGAGGGCCGGCCGACCCTGAGCACGGGCTGGGGGGAACACTGAGGAGGGCGCCTTCTCCTGCCCCCTAAGGTGATTTCTATGGAGTTATAGCTTTTGCTGTAACCCTGTCTTGCAGTTCCTCATTTCTCCTGTTCATCCACCCATCCATCCATCTACCCACCCATCCATCCACTTCCAACCCCCATTCATCCATATCCATATCCATCCATCCATCTATTCATTCATCCATCCATCCACCCATTCCCCATCCCCTCATCCACCCACCCATCCATCCACTTCCAACTCCCCATTCATCCATATCCATCCATCCATCCATCCATCCATCCATCCACCTATCCCCCATCCCCTCATCCACCCATCCATCCATCCATCCATCCACGCGTTCACCCACCCACCCATCCATCCACTTCCAATCCCCATTCCCCCATCCATCCATTCATCCACCCACCCACCCACCCATCCACTCCCAACCCCCCATTCATCCATATCCATATCCATCCATCCATCCATCCACCCACCCGTTCATCCCCCCCCCCATCCATCCACTTCCAATCCCCATTCCCCCATCCATCCATTCATCCACCCACCCACCCACCCATCCACCCAACCCCCCATTCATCCATATCCATCCATCCATCCATCCATCCATCCACCCATCCATCCATCCATCCATCTACCCATGAATCCACCCACGCACGCATGCACCCTCGCATCCGTCTTCCCGTCCTCTCTACCACCCTGCTGGCCCTTGACTCAGCTGGGCAGGTTCTGGCGCTGGGCATGGAGAGATGGGCGAGGAGGAGGAAGGCTGTTCTGACGTGACAGCCTTAAGCAGGCTGCTTTCTGCTTCCTCGACAGACCCGAGCTCCTGAAGCTCTACCACCGGCCTAAACCGGGTCAGAGAGCCCCCGCAATTGCTTGGCACCGGCTGGGGTGGAGGCTGTCTGCACCTGCGAGTCTTTCAAGCCCAGCTTGGCCGCCAGCTTCTTCCGGTCCGGCTTGCTGATGTACTTCTGCTTTTGAAAGGTCTTCTCCAGCGCCTTGCGCTGCACATCGGAGAACACGGCTCTGCGGAGCATTCCTCGGCGAGGCTTGCCGCGCGCCGCCAGCGGCCAGGAGAAGGTCCCGGGGATCGGCACCACGCCGGAGGACGCTGCGGGGCGGGGGAGGTGCGGGGTGAGCCGGGGTCCCGCGGGGCCCGGCGACTTTCCCTGGGCTTTCTTCCCCCTTCTCCGGGGTCCCTTCATCCTTTTCTTTTCTTTTTTTTTTTAAAGCGCTCCTTTTTCTCCCGGTAGAGAACAGCGGAGAACCGTCCAACCTGCCTGAGTGAAAGGCGCTTTCCGCCCAAATAACTTTCCCTTTCAACCGTGCAAACCTGGATTAGGAAAAACCACGAAAACAGCCTCCACAATCGCCTGTCGCTACCCGCCCCCGCCCCCCATTCAACGGTCTCAGGGAAACAAGCTTCACAGACCAACTTAAATTACAACAGAAAAAAAGCGACGTACAAATAAATAATTCAGCAGAGAGCAATCAGCACCCCGTCCCCTCCCCTAAACCTGCCGGCTCTATCACCTCCGTGGTGTCTGTGTTCTTTAAAATGAGGCAGCTTTCTGGTTTGACTGGGTTGGGAAAAATCTGCTTTGGCTTTAAAAAAAAAAATTCAATCATCTTTTTTTTTTAAAAAAAGGGGGGGTTCTTCCCCTCCCCCCACAACGTAAAGAATTAGGCCCGAATACTAGGAAAGTGGCGCCTAATTAGCACATTGACCGCTTCCCACTGGGAATTGGCGCGGTAAAAAGGAGGAGAGTTTCGCTTTAAGGGAGAGAAAAAGAAAAACAAAAAGAAACAGAGACTCTAACGAAGCGTGAATGGTAATTGTGTAGTAATGAACTAACAGCAAAAGGCTGCGGGCAAGCAGCGGGGGCCATATATTACCGGGACAAAAGAGATTTACACTTTTAAGCTAAACACAACTGCGGGCCATTGGGAGAATTCCGATGGTAGAGACTTCTTTCCCCCAATGGTTCGCATTAAATGGACATGAAAAGCTATTTATAAAGCTCGAGTTGTTTTTGTCAGACTATTGAGATGAGGGAGAAAGGAGCAAATTCCATTGTGGGCAGAAACGTGAATGGTCGGTGGTGGTGGTGGGCGAGTTCCTTCTCCCGTTTAAAAAGAAACCAACCGGTTGTTTCTTTGGCCGATGTTGGGAATGCGGCTCTGCCCAGCCCCCATCCAGGGCTCCCAGGCTCTGCTCTCTTCTTTTAGACCGACTTCCTGCCTGCTCCTGAGTTCTGACTAGCCGTGACATGTTCGAGCCACGTTTGAATCCCCAGTGAACCCTCAGGAGAGAAAACTCTAGCCGGCGCTTCGCCCAGACCGGGACCCATCCCGGGATCCCGCCAACTGCTGCTTCTACAAGCTCTTAAAACAAACCCAGCGGTGCGGGGAGGGCGGAGAAGGGGTCGGGGAATCAGTTTGGAAAGAGAAGGTCAGGGTCGCCAGAGGATATAGGCCTCCTCCCCCTGGGCGACCCCAGACATCCCACACAAGAGGGCACCCTATGTGGTCTCGTGAAAAGCCCCAGCCCTGAATGGGTGTTAAAGACAAATTAGCCGCGGCTGGTAGGTGCTTCTCGGCGGTGCGGAGGGGCGAGGTCCGGTCTGCGTGTGGCTGCCCGGAGGAGCTGGCCAATTGGACACGGTGCTGAAGCCTTTGTGGGGAGTCGTGGCCAAGAGCACCGGCTCTGTGGGAAACGGTGGCGTCAAGAAATGCCAACAGCTCCTCGCCGGGAAGGGGACCGCCTCAGATGGGGACCATGACAATTCTTGCTAATTTGTAGAGCAGGGAATTGGCGCATAGTGTCACGCAGTCACTGCTTGTGCTAAATAGGGCATCAAATTGGCGCGACGGATTCGTGAATGTTGTACGCCTCGCAACCTCTGAACCAGAGCGTAACCCCTAGGGGTGGACGGAGAAATATGGCTTCGGGGCGGGGAGTGACGGGTTGGGGCTGGGGCGCCGCCCAGCCTTGGGACAGGAAAGGGAAGGAGACTTACCTGGGAGATACGAAGATCTGATGAAGGGCTGGAAGGAGCCTTCAAAATAAGGAAATGCGAAAGCCTTGGGAGGCGGGCTCTGGAGCAAAGCCGGGGATGTTTCTAAGTGGGGAGGGGGGGGGGAGAGAGAAGAGAATTCCGTTAGCCTGACTACTGGAAGACGCATTGTATACCTGATCTAATTAACACTGTAGAAACTGGGTCTCTCCATGTGGCCCAGGTAGTCCTGGAACTACACGCTCTACAGACCAGGCAGGCCTCCAACTCACAGGGATTCGCCTGCCTCTGCCTTGAAAGCTTGGGCGACCACAGCCGGCTCAAACGCATCTTTTAAAATGTATTCACAGAGTAAAATAAATTAGCCTGTGTCTCGTCTGTGGGAATCCTCCTCCCCTTTTAAAAACCATCCTTAGTCCCAGTCTCATCTCCAGTCCAAGCGCCTAAGAGACACCAACCCGACTGGAACAGGAGAAAGAGCAGAACTGCAGATCCATACGTAATACTAGCTAACCCAATAAATATATGGTTTGGGACTTTTTAAATGTCCAGGAGGTTGAGGACAGGAATGCAGACGCCCAAGGGTGCAGCGCTCAGCGGTACCAGGCCAGGGAACAGTGCGCTTGGCGATGCCAGGGCTCAGGTTCATTCTGAGGATGGGGCAAGGCTGAGCCTTTCCCCCACATTGGCAGTACCCAGGGTTCGTGTTCCGGGACGTTGGAGTCTGCGTTCCTGTGTGCCAGAACACAATGACCAGCGCAGGAGAACCGGTTTGTAAAGGACTGAGATGTTGTCGGGCTGCTGGACGTGCGTCCCGCGCTTCACTTTTACTTACCTCTTCTGGGAGCGGACGACAGGATGGCATTCACCCCAAACTTCAGAAACGTGGGCTCACTGGCAGGGGAGAGGGCGGTCTGTGGAGAGCTGCCCCGCCGGCTGCCGGGACCCGGGGAGCCCAGGTCTGAGGTCCGGGAGTCGGTGATAGCTGTGGGGGCCTCTTGCCTGGGGGGTGACAGGCTGGCAGTGGTTATGCTGCGGGGCAGATAGGCTGGGGGCCGGCTGATGCGGATCAGATCTTCCACCAGAAAGCTAGAGTGGCCGGAAAATGCGGATTGAAGGGACTGGGGCAGCGTCAAGGTGGGCGTGGGTCGCAGGAGGCTAGGATACCCCGCGGGGGGCGCGAGGAGGCCGGGGAACATCGGGGTAGGCGCGGGGCGGGCGAGAAGGCCCCCTCTTCCCGTGGCCGGACGGTAAACGCTTGCTTCCCGCCCCTCCCACGATGCCCTCTCCTGGGCAAACGCGTCCTAGTACTGATCCTACTTGGGCGTCTTCGAGTCCTCCGCGGTTTGCTGGTTGAGGAGACGGTTTTATAGCTGCCCGCCTGCTCCAGCGCTTTGAAAAGTGACAGGTCTGACAAAGAAGTTCAACAAAGTTCTCCACTTGGGCGTCATTCGCTGGAGGCTCCGGGCGCTCTGATTGGCTCAGAGGCGCAATTTATGATTGGATTAGTCTTCATAAGCATGACCCGTACAATGGGGCGGCAACAAAGGCCCGCGCGCATCAACTAGGCCTATCGACCGCCTCTTTGCTATACTGTGCGCCCCAAAGCTCTCGCTGGGAGTTTTTGTTCCGAAGCTACACCCGGGCTAATTAAATGCCTATTTAGAAGTTTCAGATGACATCCTGCCTCAGAGAAAAAGGAATTATTTAAAGAGCGCACTAAATTTATTTGCGGCTCCCCTGCTGAGGCTGGAAAATAAATCAATAAATATTCATAGAAACACATCTCCAGGCTATCAGTAAAATAGCTCTCTCCCTTGTGTGTGAGGGGCCCTGTGGAAAATTTCAAGCTCTTAAGCATGAAAACACATTGCAGCTCTGGTCTCCAGTTCCTTCTCACTAGGACCCATGGAGCAGCTGTGAGGGACGGGTTAGAAGTCTCTCTTTCATACCCAAGGAGACTTGGAAATTGACATGCTGGAGGGTTCTTGGTTTAGGTTAACTGGATTTCGGAGACTGGTTGAATTCCAGAGTTGGTGGATACCAGAGCAGTAAAACAATCCACTACAAACTCTCAGCAACGGGGGTTGGGTGTCGGACAGGAGGCTATCTTCCAGAGAAGATTCTTTCGGATTCTGTTAGAGCACCGGGATGCTCCTTGCCGGAGGAGTCTCAGAGAGCCCAGCACCCTGGCTATAGGCCGGATGCCACCTGCGCAGGGCTTACTCCCGAGAAAGCCCTGCAGCCAGGTGACTGAAAGCTGGCGGGCATCCTGCTGGCCTTTTCCCAACCTCTGTGACCTTCTGGCAGTTTGAACTGAAGCTTAGCACCGGGCCTCTTTGTTTAACACGGCTGGAAGGTCGGGACCAAGCTCTAGGAATTGTGGGGTGTGTAACTCCGGTTCAGCTGTTCAGCTTTCGGATTCACCGCAAGGGAGAAACCCGAGTGAAAACCTGGAGGAAGAACTAGGTTCCTGATAGGATCCCTTGGCCTTCCTGGGTCGGCGGGGTGGCTCTGAGCCTCCACTACCCAGGTTCTAGCTCACTGAAATACACATGTATTAAACGTGCCATTCATTGCTCCGTGGATTGAACCTCCCCGAGGAGAAGCGTGCAGCCCCGCTAGGCCGCCCTGATCCTATTAACCATGAACTAACTGTCACTTTCAGCTGGTTTTCCTTTTTGCATTTTAACACAAAGCTTTCTCAAAAAATCTTATTAACCAGCTTTATTTCTCGCGATGGTTTTGTTCAGGACGTTTTGTGTTGGTGATCGCCATGTCGCTGCTTTAACCATTCAATAAAAGTGCATCTGCGATTTATATCACATTTAACCAGAACCCGAGCACGCTCAAGCTCTCCCTTGATTCAAATTAAAAAGTTATTTAGGGCCGGGCTCTGGGAGGAAGGCCTGCTTCACGGTGGCAGGAGTGCACAGTTTCTGACTTTGAGTGGGAACTGCCGGAGGAAAAAGGAATCGGGGATGGAAGGACTTAAATAAGCGTCATTTAAGCACAGAGATGGTGCTGGAGGCTCTTGAACACAAAGGGGGCAGATCTGTGGAGGAACTTCAAAAGTTCCTCTTTTTGAAGTTTTTTGGTAAAACAGGCTTGAGGTCTGTTGGAGCACTGGACTTTCTCCTGGCCGAAGTCCCAGTACTTAAGATGCCTCCCTCCCTCCTCCACTTCCTTCACCTTTCCCCTCCTCTCCTCCTTTCCTTCCCTTCTCCTCATCTCCCCCTCCACCGTCGGAGGCCGAGAGTTTCAAGAGACGTTGTGGGAGACTGCGGGTCCTAAGGTTCTCCGATGGTTGGAATATAGCCTCGATTTGCAGAAATCCTTGGATTCTGCGGGAGGGTCTGGGGAGAGGACGAGAGCCGTCTGTGCTCAGGAGCATCCCTAGGTGGCATCCACAGTCCTCCGCCCAGGGCCTCAACACATTCTGGCTACCCTTTGACGTGACTACAGCTAGTTTCCTTTTACCAGGTGGCCCCGACTTGCTACAAGGTGGGTCCACACCTCGGGGCCATCCAGGTGGACCCCTCTCTTCCTTCAGTCTGTCTCCACCGCCTCCTAAAGAATTCTTCAGGCGCCAAAGAGAAAAACTGAGGGTGGAGGTGAGGCTGACTGCCCTTTTGAAAAAGCACAAGTAACCCTCAGGAAGAAATCGGACGAAAGGATCTTACTGTTCTCCGAAGGCGCCTTTTCAGAGGGTACCAGCAAGGCCTGCGCGCCACTAACTTCATTTGGCCAGTGCCTACCGGGGTTTTGTGCGCCCTGACCTGACGCTCAATCGGACGAAAGGATCTTACTGTTCTCCGAAGGCGCCTTTTCAGAGGGTATCAGCAAGGCCTGCGCGCCACTAACTTCATTTGGCCAGCGCCTACCGGGGTTTTGTGCGCCCTGACCTGACGCTTACTGTAATGTTCTTATCTCCAAGTTTATTTCGGAGAAATCACTCGCCTTCTTTGTCCCAAGCCAAGTTTCGGCCTATTTCGGGTTAAGAAGATAGAAGGGGAAGAGAGCAGTGGAGGCCCGGCTTGGGTCGGGTCCTCTCTGCTCACAGGGGCGGGCTGCTGTCGGGCTCCCGCCCTACGAAGTCAAAGCTGCGGGAAGGGAGGAAGGCTCCGGAACGGTCCCGAGGGCACCATTCCCTGAGGCAGCGGAGACCGGGGAATCCCGGCCCCCACCCGGTGCCCAAGTGAGCTCCCCGCTCTCTCCAGCGCGCACCGGCCAGGGAGCGCCACAAGGAAGCTCGGGCCACCAAGCGAGGCAGGGTGCTGCAGAGGCGTCGCGCGAACCTCCCAGCAGTCCAGCAGAGGTAGCGAGTGCCAGTTTCAGGGCGGCAGGCCTCCTTTTGCAAGTCGCGGGGACCCACCGTCTTTGGCACTCGTCTCAGAAACACCGGGCAAGTGCGCTAGCGACCCTGGCAATTCGCTGGGCGGGAAGCCGCCGGGACTTGCACCCATCCAGGCCTCTCCGACTGGACAAGCACCGGAGTAGGACTCGGTGCGGACCGAAAGCACTCTCCTCCTGCGGTCTCAGCGCCTATTAAGACAACGCTACGGGGCTCACCTTTAGAATAAGCCGCAAGGAGCTACTGGCCGCCCCAGCCCTTTCTAGCGGCTCCCCCCACCTCCATCCCTTTCACAGTCGCTCCCCTTTTTCCTTGAAAATCCTTCTATTGTGCCAATCAAGCAGATGGTTTGCAGGAAATATAGCTTGGCCTCGCTGACCGAAACTAATTTTAACTAGCTTTCCAAGCCTGAAACGTTTGTTTTGCTCTTGCAAAATAGCCCCCAAAACAGCTGGCAAGGGTGAATTAAACCCATTAAAGACACATTTATAAGAAATTATATTCACATAGATTGCCTGAACCCCCTTGTGCAGCCTAAGAGGGTGAGAGGAGTGTATTTAAATGAAAATGTCGCTCCTATCATAGCGCGAAACTCTGAAAACATTTTACTAAATAGATTAACTTGCCCATTGTCCTGCCTCACATTTATCAGCTTCATTAAGTGAAGGGCTGAACAAATATATTACGCATGCATGAAAAGCTCTTTTTCCAGGGTCTCATTGTGTCCTCAGCCCTGACAGGTGGTTAACTGTGTGTTGTGTTTTTTTGTGGGTTTTTTGTGTTTTCTTTTTCTTTCTTTTTTTTTTTTTTTAAATCTGAAGAAAGAGGATCTCTGTAGAGCAGTGCTCAGTGCTGGCTTGGTTAGTCCCCCTGGGCCCCCTGGGCACCAGGGATATATACCCAGTGAGTGCTGGCCAGTGGGTCAGAGTACATTGAAATGACCCAAATTAAACTTCTTGCTGAACCAAGCTTTCAGGGCTTTTTAAGAACTCTCCTCCCACCCCACCTTATCCAAAAATTAATTTCTTTTCTTAACATGCCCTCCCTCTGTCCTTGAAGACAAACTACCTCTGCTTTTCCTTGCTTACGCAGTTATAGTCTTTTGATTTCTTAACCTATTATTTATTTATTGATTGATTGATTGATTGATTGGTTGATTGGGAGGGCACATGCATGCCACAGTATGCCTGTGGAGGTCAGAGGACAACTGGCAGGAACTGGCTCTCTCCTTCCACCATGTTGGTCCTGTCTGCAAGTACCAGTATTGGCAACACAGAGGGGCAGAGGACTGAGTTTTGAAGCTACCCTGAGCTGCAGTGTGAATCCCTGTCTAAAAATACACAAAACTAATCAATACCCCCCCTCAAAGATCAGGAGGAGGGGAGGTCATTTGTAAGTTAGAGAAGCTGAAGGTGTGACCCATTCACTTTTCCTTTGAGACTCTGAAAAGCCTTTTTCCTGGTCTAGACACCCATGGGAGGATTAAGGTAAGGCTACTGGGCCTTGTACCATAATGATAATTACCTTTCCTTTTTTTTCCTCTAAAGGTAACCAGGGAAGGGTGGCATGGGACAGAAGTGGAGCTCACCTGTGAGCAGGACCTTTTAAAAATTGCTAGAGGATCGTTTGCTTGAGGCTCAGGTGGGTCCAGAGGGGCAAAGACTGAAGACCAAGGGCAGCTTCTGTCTGCAGGAGCCTGCTCACCAACTCCATGCTAAAACTGCCCCTTCAACAGTAGAGAGAAGCCTCCACTTCCTGCCAACCCTCCATTCTGTTCCCCACCCCCAGTCAGGTCTCCTCCTGTTTGGGGGCTGTGCTGGAGGTCTACTTTTAGCTTCCTCCTTTAGCTTCCTCCTTCCTGCCTTAGCCCATCTTTCTCCTGCAGTGTGGGAGAAGCCATCCTCTTCAAATGACCCAGGATGCCTTGCTGACTGGATGTTCTCCACAGTTTGGCCAGAGCAGGAAGGAGGAAG